GCATGAATAATGAAGTTTTGTTGTGCTTTTTATTTATAAATCCAGACTTCTGTCTTTAGTTTTGCCAGTCGATCCCGTGACACACATTGTGACAAACATGACTTTTTTGTTATAATCTGCATTTATTGCCAGGCATGAAACCTGTAACTTCAAGCTCCCTAAGATATATTTGGCGATAATATGTGATTCTCAGGATATGATGCTGAAGCGAACTTCAAAATCAGTCTCGCTGGGCATGCCAATTTCTTGCCTGGCATGCCGGGCATGCCAAACCAACTGGCTTCACCATCGGCATGCCCGGCATGCCAAACCAGAGGAGCAAAAACTGGGAATGAATTATCAACCCGGCGAGAGATCTGGGACCTAAGTTTAGCTGGGTCAATTTTGGGCTGCGAGGGCATGAACCCATTTTTTCCAAGCCTATGAGATGTTATTTCTAAGTAGCAATGTTCCCTTGAATTTTGTCATGCCTAAAAATATAAAATTTTCCCTCTCTCATTAATCCTCAGACTGGATGTGATTTTTACGCTCGCTAGGCATGTTCACCTGAAAATCATGCCCATACCCTTATTCAAAACAAAATGCTATCAAATTTTAGTTTCCAAGCCGTTAATGGCACTTGACTTCCCTTTTCCCATGCCATCGAAAAACGGTTGGCACTAAGGTACACGCATTATAGGCATATTTTTATCCCCTAAAAATTTTTCATTTGTTCGGATTTCCTAGCTGAAAGTCTAGTGATCAGAAAATTATAGGGATCAAAACTTACCTTTTCGAAAATTTCAGCCAGAAAAAAAGGTTCCCGAAAATTCTAGGTGACCTGTTTAAGGTACAAATCCGTTAAAAATGGGCAATCATACCATATTTTAGATGTTCGAAAATCCTAGGAGAGGCAGGGAAGCAAGAAATTTTTCAACAATTGAATTCTAGATCTCAAATCGTCTTCCGAACAGATATTCTCCGACAATTGTCGTTGGGTGCCCCTGAATAAAGTGAAAAGATTTTGATTTCTGCCTTGTGTTTTTTTTGGAGGCGTCGAAAATTGTAAGACGTAGAATAATCCTTGTATACTGCTGTGAAGTAACATCTGAGATATTGATCGTCAATATGACAAGTGTGAGCGCGAAACGTTGCTCACAGGACGATCGTTTAATCCCACGTTAAGACAGAAAATTCTTGACGCGCTTTAAGAACTTTCGCTACAATAAATTATGCTCACGACGATAAGGATGTAAACAGAGTTTATTGAAGCGAAGCGATGAGACGTTAACAATGTTGAAAAGAAGCGAAGCGATGATTAGGCGGTGTAAACGAAGAAAACGATGTACAAAGCGGTTTCGAAAACTAAGAAATAAATACAGCGAAAACTATAGTTAGATTAACTAGAAACCACCTTAAAACTACGAAAACAAACTTTGGATTTCATTTTTACGATGCAAAAAAGCTTTATAAAATGTCACGTATCATGCACAAAGTGAAAAGACTTACTTCTGTGTCCGCTTTATGGATTTCACAGCGTTGACGTTGAGCCTTACTTTGATCTTAACACGATGACACGTTGAAAAAAGTTGAAAAAGTTTCTTGAGCACGTTCGACAATGCTAACTAATACAAAGGATAATAGATTTCTTTGTTTGTAAATCATATGTAAGCAGGTATATCCGCGGCAAAAACCACACATACTATAAGATAATAACGCAAACGAAAGTAAAAAGGGTTCGAAAGGAAATACGAAAAACCAGAAAATATTTGGCAGTAACAACAAGTCATATTTCAATTTGGTGTCTCCCAGATATCGATGAATGCAATGAAAATGTTGAAAACAACTGCAGCCTTTTGTGTATCAACAGTCCAGGAAGTTACTATATATTGTAAGTGTCAAAATGGACTCCAAATGTCTCAAGACAACAAGAGTTGTAAATGTTCAAAAGGCTTCCAGGAGTCGGTCAATAGGACAATGTGCTTGGGTAAGTATCAACACAATATGATAGTACTAGCAGGAACCAATGGTTACGAAGTGCGGGCGAACATGTGCAACCGCTTTCATAATTGTGTACGTGAATACGAAATTCCTTTTTAATAGTACAAGTATCAACAGAAGGAATCACGTCGTATCATGAACGTGGAAATTGAATTGAACAACACAGTAAACAAGACTGTTATTGAATTTAACTATTCTATTCACAACTGCTTAGATACAGGTAGCTTTGAATTGCAAATGATGAGGAGCGACTGAGGAGAGACAGCTGTATTCGCAGGCAAAGATTGTGAGAGACAACGTACAACGTGAAATGAACGGTCATAACAGCACGAATTCTTGTTATTCATCAATCGGTGTTCGTGTTTTATTTTATTCATATCTAACACAGAGGCTTTTTTTGAATGGGCGCTTTAATGTAATTTAGTTCTGACAGAATTGACCAAAACAACTATACCTCGTGACCCTTTAAGAATTCTACGCCTGCATCGTAGATACTCTACACAGTTTGTGATTCAGATGTTGTGTAAGCTGGCGGTAACGCTGCCTAATAGTTACGCATGCACGTGTTATGACGAGAGTAGAGTAAAATTTAGTTTTAATTTTAGATTGTGGAATGTTTCTTCATACGAAGAACTTAACGTCGGCCGACTTTCGTTACTTCAACCAAAGCCAGCTTCGTGGACGCTTCCCATGGGGTACATCAGTAAAGACGTTTTTCCAGATCGACCTCAATAAAAGCTATAGGTATAGGTATAGGTACAAAATCACGGCTATATCTACTAAGGGTGGAGCGAACGTGAGCACTGAATGGATGAAGCAATACAGAATTCGCTTTTTCGTTGGTGGAAAGCCAGTTCCTTATACAGAGTCTGGTATAGAAAAGGTTAGACATAATCAAATACTATTCTTGGCTTGCAACCGCGTGATAAGGCGGCCATGTTGGTGGTGTGTTGGTGGTGAATATTTTACACGAAAATAAGGTTTAGTTCCCAGAGGAAAGAAATGCTTTTGTTACGAACCCTACCACACCACCAACATGGCTGCCGTGACGTCACGTGCAAACAAGCAATATTTAGGCATTGAAATTTGAACAAGTTGAATTATAACTAAAATTTTAAGCTTGTTTCTATGAAACAAGGCAGATTTAAGCACCTGTGTGGGTGAAGTATATTATTGTGTTAGAAGAACTAACCATTAGTTGTACAATATGTTTAATCTTTATCTTTCTTTTGATCTTTCCAGTAAAGAAAGTAAAGAATTGCAAGTTCTTTCTCTGACTTTTTGTAATGTGGTATTTTGCGGGGGAAGGTGATTGCTAATTTGTTTCATTTTCTTTTTTACTTAAAAAAGAGAAAGAATTTCTAGTATTTCCCCTTGTTTCTGCGAAAGTGACAACATTCCATGGTAAAGTTTCTCGGCAAACAATGGTCTTGAAATGTTTATAAGGGCCTACAACCGTGGAGCTTCCGCCATTACTCAAGAATAGAAATATATGGATGTCATCCCCCTCCTGGTAATGTTATTATCATAGTGTACTGATAACAAATGATTTAAAGGGGCTCGATAGGGTTTTTCAGGGGCAATACCTCCCAAATTTCAGCACAAACTACCATTAAAAATACACACTCTACTTGGGATGCATGCACAATCAAACAGCGGGTTCTATTATCGATAATAAGACCCTTATCCTTGAGGTCAAACTTTATGGCTGTCTCTGCAGTATGATGTGGCGAGCTGTGCACATGCAATGGCTACCGGCCAAACTGCAGAGTTGGTAGTTTGCTATTTACTGAGTTGCTGTCTTGGTTAAATTTGGCCTCAAAATAAAAACCTTTCTTTGCGACAGTATTTTCACCTAAATTGTAACCGCGGGTGGAGGTATGACATTTTCTCTACTCCACAACAACGACAATAGGGACCTTAAGCAACCTAGACGACGAGCCGAGTGGACGCCGACCGGAAGTGTTCTCACGAAGCCGGCAACTTCTGCGCATGTCAGTGATGTCGTCCACATGGCGTTCAGGACGTGACATCTGTTGATTTGCCGTCCTCAGGTGAACGTGAGCATTCAAAGCAATCTTACCTTGTTTAATACCAATGTTTGAAAAAAGGAAACCTTTTTTGTACTTTTTGTCGAAAGTTGGGCCGTAGAAGGAAAGATTTGGAGAGATTTTCGGTAAACCGTGAGCCGTGGTTTTCAATGGCTTCGGCGAGAAAGAATCCGTGAGTAAAAGTAAAATGTTTATGTTCTTCTTAAATGCTTCTAAACTGTAATCCGTTTCTAGAAGCACTATTTAACTGGAAAAAGGAAAAGACGTTGATACTCGGGACCCTTGCATGAAAGAGGCCGGTTAAAAAACCCAAGGGAAATCTCTCGAAACATCGGCAATCTCATCCACAAGGTTTTTTTTTTGTTTATATGTTATGAGATGCAAAATTTTCACTATATTTCGTATATACTGTTTCCGGTAAACTTGATCAACGTGAAAAGAGTCGTATATCCGTAGTAGATAAATGAATGGGACTGTACGGAAATCTTGCCTCCGGCAATTAACTTCTGTAAAATATATAGGGCAACAAAACCAGCTCTGTTCTGTTTGATTCGATTCAAGCCTTTTCATTTGATAAACAGTTTACTGATTTAAATCCTTGAACGCTAAAAAGAAGTTACTCTCGTATTTCTTTAAACGAAGCCATTCAGTGCTGTCTGCCTACTTCGGCGACGAGCCGAGACGGGAGCTTGCTTAAACATTTGTTTTTCCCGCTTTGGACAACGTTCTGGACCCAGACCTTACTCGTCTTCTCTCGTCTTCGTCCACAATCTCGTCCTGACTGCTTAAGGTCCCTAATTTATTCGATGTGAACAACCAGCCGTACTTCCGAGTTCCAAAAACCCTCACTTTCAAAATGACGCCAAGTGCAAAACCTTTCTTATAAAAATGAGTTTTATTGCTCGAGAATGAAAGGTCATTTTCATATGAAAGGCTGAGCCCTTTACCTTGTTTTAATACAGAGGCTCAGACGAACTCAGAAATGGCCTTATTATGTTACCCACATTTAGCAGGGCTATTCATCTAGGTGGATAATAATAAAATAATAATACAAAGCACTGAGGGGAAAAAAATCAAGTGAAAAAATAAAATAAAAACACAGAAAACAAAGCAAGGAAACTCAAGGGAAATAAATGGTATACTATAACAAACAGCAATGCACTGCAATTTAACTTTCAGTATTTCCATTCGACTTCCAATCTGTTAAGAAGGAGATTGACACTTGTAAAAACGTCGATGCAAAAGTCGAAAAAATGCCGCCCATACATTGTATTCATTCTAGCTTAAGGTGCTGTAATTTCATCAACTGTAACCTTTAAGGTATGTCATCGTAACGTGTTCTCAAAGTAGACTAAAATTATTTACTAGGTCATTTGTTTTTAAAATCTTATCTGAGGAAACTGTAAGTCCCATTAATGTTTGGTATAAAGAAGCGTGCCATTCCATTACTGCCATGTTTTCGTCATTTGGAAAGTAACTTGCGTCTGTTCTGTTTTTCTTTAGACTGTATCCTGGTTGGTTCAAAGTTTTGGGGACTGTGGTCGCAAAGAGATCGATCAAATAATTACTACAGGGCTTTTATCTCGCGGTTAACTGACACTCACATTGAGTTCATCTTGGAATACAGCAGCCATTACAAACGAGTATACAAACGGACTGATCCAGTGCTTATAATAGATAAGGAGCCAGAAAAGAGGGAAATATCAGTCAATACACCAGTTATAGCTGTTCACAAACCTGCAATGGCAGAGTGGTACCGAACTGGTATCGTGAAGAACACAGCTACCTCAAAAATGGGTGAATTCTCGGTGTCAGTTAGGTTTGATAATGGTGATTTAAGGCTGGTTCCTCTACAACAGCTTCGCTTAGTTAAACGTCCACGATTTTGTTAAGTAAAGCATCTAATAATATAACGTATAACAAATTCTCAACGGATTGTGGCACGATTGTGCCAACATGCATGAGGGTCTTCCTCTTAATGTTGGGACAATTATAATTATTCTCTTTGATTATTAATTTTGGGGAGGTATTAGTAATGGTAATAGGACTGAGTGGAGTGATCAAGGAAGTGAAAAAAAAAATGAAAGAACAATAATATTAACAATAAGATATAAAAACCTTATACAGTGCTAATTTTTTAAATTTCTGCATCACTAAGTTAAGTGAGAGGAGAGTACAGTGCAGGCCAGAATTAGGCGAACCAAAGTATACGCGTAATACTCGTCTGGAAAAACGAGTCCATGCGTCAGGCTGACGCACCGACGCGTCTGCTCTGAAACGCGTCAGTGGACATTTAGACTCATTAGTATGTATGAGCTATCTCTTTGTCTACAAGTGCAAATATGTCACCGACAAGCAAGAAACTGCCGGATTGGCACACGCTAAAAATATTTTGCATTCAACACGCGACACGGAGTGCAACCGATAGCCACTGAAACATATCTCCGAAGTATTCTATACTAGCAAAATAATGTACATACATTTAAACTACAAATACAGTACACTTTATAATTTCACTGGAGATAAGATTCGTATTTATTTCTTTACTTATCATACGGCGATAATCATTTCGCAAATCGTGAACTCCTCGAAAACAAACACAATAGACGCCGAAGAAAACTTCCCTTACACAAGAATCTTCCCATTTAGCTATTTGAATGTGGAGTAGATGCTCATGAATTTGATTTAAAGTTTCCTCCTCTCAAAAGAAACGGAATGTGTGACATTTTCTTTTCTTCTTTCATCGGGACTGCGGTCCACGTCAGACAGATCACAATCGATATCAAAAGCCGAAGACAAGATCGTCCTTGTTGACGTTGAGACCATAGTTAGTAGATTACTATTCGCATCCATGAAGCTTTTGTCATGAAATCAAGTCTTAAGAAATAAAAAGGATCGCTGGAACGTTTGAATCCGCACTTTTAAGACCTAACAGATCTGGAGATGTTACAAATATTATAGTCCTCCACGCCGCGTTGCTGAACACAATTTTGCGGGCGGTCAGCGGTAACTCGCGTGACGGCGTGTGTTTTAAATTAGACAAACAAACATGGCGAAAAAAGAAGTGGTACACAAAAGACAATTTCTCAAAATCTACTCATTAAAATTTTGTGATATTTGGCAGAATTTTTACTTTTATCGTACTTTCAATGATAAGAACTTTAAAATGGAAGTTGAACAGACGAATTTTGTGACACGTTTAATAATTACAGTATAATAAAATTATTGATTATCTAAAAACCCGTTTGTTAAAATTTGGTCAAATAAGTTTCAAATGGTAATGATTAATTATAGTAAGCTGTGTGCAAAGTTTATAGGAAAATCTAATAAGCGAATTTTATGCAACTTGAGCAAAAGTGAAATTTTAAGGTTGTATTCAATCGTTCATGTTGCCATGGAAACTGCGAAAACGTCACATTTTAGCCGTCAGTCAAAATCTTTCATCAGTATATTTTTCACTTGCCAAGTTTCAGCTTATGAACTGCAACCTTTCTCTTGCCATGATTTGGCAAATGGCATACTCACAAACTGCCAAAACTAAATTTCGCTTGCCCTCGTAGAAGCAAAACCAAGCAAAAGTTTTCATTTACAACACCACAATGACAAGCAGTGGACATTATTTATCCGAGTCTTGGCGGCGCACGCTTGAAGACAAAATTTTTTCCTTTTTTGATGTTGTTGTGTTTTTAGAGTTATCGATGGAACTTCAGCTGAAGAGGCGTGGTTTAGAACTTGACAAGGTTGAGTTTCGAAGAACACGAATTCAACTTTATAAGTGACGCTTGCGCTTCGCCGCCTTAATGTTTTGCGGACGCGTGCTCGAAAAAGTAAATAACATAAGCATTTGTTTGCAAACCGACGTTAAATTTTTCTGTTTCCACGGCGAGAAAGGTTGGTTTAATTTCTGACATGCTTTATATGTAATACTTCGCGGGTAAAATAAAAAGAAAAATACTATACTATTTTTTAGGTTTTCGCGTACATTCTCATAAAACTTCCCGAGAAGTTCCAAAATATTTAATTTCCAGCACTACTGCTATCAAAATAGTGTTAATTTTAGAACACACCAGCAGTGACACGTGCTTGCGAAAAAAAAGTGTCTATTATTATAAGTAACTTCAAGACGCCACAATGACAATGGACATCTCGGCGGCACTCGCTTGAAGACATCAAGTTTTGTTTTTCTTTTTTCTCGTTTTGCCTTTATGTCGTTGTTTCTACCTCTCTTTCTCTCTTTCGAGATTTTCCAATGGCATTGATAACTTTAGGTCATGCAGCCGAGGATCAGAATCAAATCCGATTTTCCAGTTGGTAAGTAAACCATCCCGGTTCAGTCCACACGAAGTTTTACAGTCGTGGTTGATTAGGGACTGGTCGAAAAGTATAGGGGGGTGGGCCGGAGCATTTGGAAATGTGGTTGATAAAAAACACATGACCCACCCCTTCCCTTCGGCACAAAAATGACTGACCCACCCCTAAAGCAAGGTTGGAAATTGCATGACCCACCCCCTAGTTAAAACATGGATGTT